AAAAAGATTGAAGAGAGTTGGACTAAGATTACATCCCTGTTTAACACCAATATTGGACTGAAATTGTTTTGTTAAGCCTTCTTTACATTTAACTTTATATTTTACTTTACTGTACATGTTTTTGATAGTTTTATACATTTTTCCTGTTATACCATATTTGATTAATTTTTGAATAGACCATCATGCCAGACACTGTCAAAGGCCTTTCTAAGGTCAATAAAGCAGGCATATAATTTTTTTGATTTTTTAATATTTGTGTTATTTTGTTTATTGGCGCACTCTGACTTACCACTGTAGAGATATTTATTTACCAGGGTTTTTAGTATGAAAAGATTGTCTGTAGTTCGACAATCATGCCTAAATCCGAACTGTTGACCGGAAAGAATGTTATTAGAGTCTAAAAATGATGTCAGCCTAATATTTAGAATACTATTGAATAACTTGCCAAGACAGCTAGAGATAATAGTCAAGTAAAGTATTATCACATTACAAGGACAGGTAGTAAACTAGTATCAGTATGGAGCTAAAAAACGGGAAAGCTCCATGGCATGAGAGAGCAAAAGAAATGCCTTCGTCATATTAGCTCGTTTGGTTTCGCTGTCAGTTATTTCGTTCGCCGTGGTGTTTCCCTGGTTTCGCGTTAACACCACGACGAACGAAATACTGCAGAACTGCAGCTAATTTATACGATGACGTAACCGGAAAATACAGATTTTTACAACGTTACCTTTCGAGCCTTCTAGCATACTCAACATGTGATTCATAAAGTGAAATGGCATTCACTACGACTTGGAATATCAGGGAACATTTCGCGTACGTCTTTTATATTACCATTTGTGCATAAAACTTCTTTTGTTTGGGACCGTTTGACCGAGTCGCGAAAGGAGCCATGTTTGTTGAACTTGTTGTTATTGACTGACACTGTATAATTTAGATAAAACGACTCCAGTGTCGCTCTACATCTCTGATGTTTGCTTAGGATATAAATTCATGTCGTAAATACTTACTTCTTGATGCCAGATTCCTGTACACCCTTTAATTTCAGAGAACCTCCAGCAGACGTGTAGGCAGACATTGTTTATGATGAAGAAAACATCTCATGCTGTGACCGTAGGTGGCGTCCTTGTTGAGTCTTGCGAACTGTTGTAGTACATGTATTATATGTGGTTTTGAACGAAAAGCCAGTCTTTTTTTTTTTTTTTTTTGCAAGTCAGTCTTCGTTTTTTCGATCCGCACGCTATTGTATTGGGGATTCGCGCTCTATTGTTTTCTCGTCCGACCTCGGCCCCTTTCAAAAAAGTGCGCTCCACACTTTGTATCCGCTCTTTGTGTTTTTCACACCAATTACATACCTCGTGCTACCCAATGAAGCACCGTGGGCTCCGTCTCGCACCACATGATAATAATAATAATAATAACTTTATTGCCTCCGTGTAAATAATTTACATAGGATAAGTACAGCAAAAAGAGTTTTAAAATAATAACAAGATATATGTAAGAATTGTACAAAAAACAATACAAAGGGACTTAACCAGTATTTAAATGTTAAATTGTGTTGTGTAAATATAATTGGCAAGTTCTATAATTATGCCAGGATCTTTGCTTGAGAGTATATATGTGAACTGTATATTTTTATTGTTGGATGAAAGTAGTGTCTTATTTTTTTGGATGAAATTTTCCCTGTGTGTAATATTTTGGGCAATTCAATAGAAAATGTTCTTCATCTTTAATTGAATTTGTGTCACAGTTATTGCATATTCTTTTATTTATAGGTTTCTTAGGAAATGAATATCTGCCTTCCCCTATTGCCAAGTTATGGTTACTAATTCTAAATTTTGTCAATATTTTCCTTTTATGAGTGTCAAGTTCATTCAAATATGGCTCAAAGATGTATTCTGTATTTAATGATATCTGTAGATCAGCCTGGGTAGTGGAAGTGAGGGCTAAATCATCTGCATATAAAATACTTAACAGTGTTATTATTCAGGAGTGGTGGTTCAGTATTAGCATTATCCAAACTATCCTTTAAATCATTAGTACAAATGTTGAAAAGAGTTGGGCTAATTATACATCATTGTTTTAATCTTCTATTAATAGTAAATTCTTTTGTTATATAATTATTTATATTAATGCAAGCTTTTGTTTTTGAATACGTGTTTTTTATTATTTTGTAAATCTTGCCATTAATGTTATTTTTTAATAGTTTATAGAATAGCCCTACTCTCCATACTGTGTCGAATGCTTTGGCAAAATCTACAAAACAAACATAGAGTTTTTAATACAAAAATTTGATCAGTTGTTCTGTGTGTTTTTTCTGAAGCCGGCCTGGTTGTTTTTGAGTATTTTATTTTCTTCAATATAAAGTTTATGCGTTTATTTATGATGGAACAGAAGACTTTACCAATACAACTTGAAACTGCTGAAATTGGATTATCACTATTCTGATCTGTATTTTTCATATGTTTAATAATTTTTCAAAATTCTTTTGAAATTTCCTTGTTGAAGAGTTCTGAGTTTATTAAGATAATTTTCTTGGATTTTGTTTTTCTTTTGTTTTATAAGTTTCTGAAATCTTTTCTCTTTAGAATAAAAAGTTTGTCTTAGTTTCATATCAAATGGAAATTTATTTATCAACTTTGCACAAACCATTAGATCACGTTTACTCTGGTTGCATTGTTCATCAAACCATCTGGATTCTTTTTTTGTTTGTTTTTGTGAATATTTTTATTGGGATTGTTATTAAAAATATCTGAAGCTGAATCTTCTAGTAGCTGATTACATTTCTGGGATGCTATATTTACATCATTATGACTTAAAATTGTGTTATTAAACTCTTTCTTTTGATGCTAATCTATCATGGTATTTAAAAACTGGTAATTTATCCCATTTCCACTTCCTAGGCATTGGCTCTAATTTAGTGTGTTCATGTACATGTTGTGTGTGCACATTAAGTAATGTTGAAATTTGGCAATGATCTGAATAACATGTAAAATTGTGGACTTTGAAATATTCAAATTATATTAATGTCCATGACGTAAATACTCGCAAGAAAGCGCGTATTACCACATACCTACTACATACAGTGGTATCCGGGAAAAGATGCAGGTAATAATATTATACCGGTAATCTGTATTGCTACCGTATCCTTAATAATTGGATTTAGATTTGAGTACAATAAGGTTAAAACCAATCAGCAGAAAAGCTGGCAATGCTGATGTTAGGTACAAGAAACAATTTAAGCAGTAACAGTAACAAACTTCGTTGGTGCTTGATACAGAAAAAATAAATAATGTGCGATGATCAACATTACGGATAGAGGCAGCTGGTGTCTTGTCAGTTATCAGTTCTTCTCTGATATCGTGAATACAGTTTTGCAAGCTGAATTAAAACTTTTTATATTACCAATATGTGTGCTATTTTGTAATTATGTTGCTCTTTAGGGAAAATGTAATTATCAGCTTGTTTGTTTTCACATGTTCCTTCTATAATTTTCAATTTCAGTTGTTAGATACTTTTAAAGTACGAGCGTACTAGTAGTATATAATATACGGGTACCTCGAGTTTTGGTTCATACAATAACAATCACTGATCGTGCACATTCTTTTTTTTTTCATTTTTCATCAACAAACACTATAATTGCCATGGTGTATGTGTGCAACAGTCTATCGAGCACCAGAAACATGGGTGGCATGTATTCAACCATTTAGTAAGAGCTAATGTCAAATAGTAAAGTTTATCCTTATCACTAATGATGAAGAGGTTTAGTAAAAATAAACAATTTCGTAATCATTTTGAAAATATTGTTTAGAATACACCGAACAGACCTCTGAATACTCAGGTAGAACCTCTGATATTAATTATCCATATGTCTTGTATAAATATATGTATTTCGAATATCGCTGGCGCGACTTGTGACCACGCTTACTCTGGGCGAATCCCAATAGAAAATAACTTTATAACTTTGGATGTACTACAATATGTGTCAACAATATATTAAAGGGCGGTAGTCCCGTCGCGCTGCGCATGTGCGACGTTTGTGTTGATAAAAATTGATTTTCCCACAATCCAATGCGCTC